GACCTTGCCTCTGGAGGGAACTAATAACTGAGGCCTTGTCTATTTAAAATGCTTTCCTGAGCCTGACTAGAGTTTAGTCAAGCAGTTTCTAGGTAGGCAAAATCAGGTAAAATCAGTTTGGTCCTTACATATGTTAATGAAATCACAAAGGACTTGAAATGCTTACTGATGACCATCAAAGATCACAGCCTTCGGTATGGGTTGCACCTCAATGTAAAGAAAACAAAAATCCTCACCACTCACCACCTCACAATAAACAACATCATGATAAACTGAGAGAAGATTGAAATTCTCAAAGGCTTCATTTTGCTTGGATCCACTATCAACACTCACAGAAGCAGTAATCTAGAAATCTAACAACATAACACATGAGGCAAATCTGCCGCCCAGGACTTCATTATGTGTTCAAGAGCAAAGATGTCAGTTTCAGGACTCAGGTATAACTGATACAAGTCATAGTATTTTCAATAGCCTCATATGCAATAAATAAAGAAGACTGTAGGAAAATTGATACATTTGAGCTATGGTGTTTGAGAAGAATATTAAAAATACCAGGGTCTGCTAGAAGAACAAACAAATCTGTGCTGGAAGAAGTACAGCGAGAATGCTCCTTAGAAGTCAGGATAGCAAGACTTCATCTCTCATATTTTGGACATATCATCCGAAGGGACCAGTCTCTGGAGAAGGACATCATGCTTGGTAAAGTAGAGGGTCAGTGAAAAAGGGGAAGACCCCTTCAGTGAGATTGATTGGCACAGTGGCAGCAGCTAGGGGCTCATGCGTAACAATGAATGTGAAGATAGCACTGAACTGAACAGTGTTTGGTTCTGTTGTGCATAGGGGTTGCTATGAATTAGAATCGACTGGACAGCACCTAACAACAACAACATTACAATAATGAAACATACACTTAATAAGTCATGAAAACTACTTTTTTTTTTTTTTAATGTTACTGCTGGAACCTTCTAATCCTACAACCAGGATAGCTAAATGTTTTGTATATAATTAATTTATATTAACAACTTAAATGAATGTAAGGAAAGATCAAATCTAGATGTATAAGGAAATATGGAGATAGTAATAAATTCTTTCATCTTAACATCACAATTAGATGAATTGTTGAGTCTAGGGCTTAACTCAAGGCCTTAGCCCATGGTTTTAACCACTTACCCACTTACCAAAACCTACATGTAGAGTAGTTTCTCAAACAGGAGTTAGATGTGTGGCTTTCAAAGGAAATACTTTATTATGAGTGAAAGAAAAGTGAGACCTCTATTGGTCTGGTTTTTACAAATTCCTTTAATTAATTTTTAATTGGAGATGTCCTAATTTCACTGTTGTATTTGAGGAAATTTTACTAGGTATTTTTTTGGCTGACAATTTTTCTGTAGATGTCATCCCTTCTTGCCTGCATATTTTCTGCTGAGAAATCACAGTCTCGGCTTACTGGTTCTTCTTTGTAGGTAATTCTTTTTTCCCCCAAGCTGCTCTAAGGATTCTTTCCTTGTCTTTGGTTTTGGGAAGTTGTATTATATATAATATGTCTTGGTGGCTTTCATTTGGGGTCTATCCTGTTTGGAGCTGGTTCAGCCATTCAGCTTCTTGAATACTTCTCCTCTTTCATGATGTTAGGGAAGTTTTCTTCCAAAACTCTTTGTCAATTTTCTCTGTGCTTTTTTTTAAAGTCTCTTCCTGTTCTGGAATTCCAGTCATACACAAGTTTGCTCTTCATGGTATCCCACATAAATTTTAGGCTTTCTTTAGAATTTTTTCCCTTCTTTTTTCTGATTGTTCTTCTAGCGGATTAGTATTGAGAGATTTGTCTTTAAGCTCACTTAATTCAACCTTCCATTCATTCAAATCTATCTACTCTTTTGTCCTTTCAATGTATTCTGAAATCTTATTAATATTCTTATGGACTTATGGTTGCACTTTTTGTACTGTTTCTTTCTTTTCTGGTCCATATGTTCTTGTCCTTTTTTTCTGAATCCTTCTAAAGTCTTTCTGGGTTCTCTTTGCTTTTGTCTTTTTATCTTCAGTTTTTAATTTTTGCAGGTCTGGCCAGTGTTTTACTCTGTTGTGTACAAGGTCACTATAAATCGGTACTGACTCAACAGCACCTGACAAAAACAACAAAACTGCATCATTCTTTACAGTAAATTTAACTGTAAGGAATTCAATGAAAATAACAAATGCAATCATTAAATTACAGTAGTCATGTATTTCAAACACCCCCAAATATTATATATTAGTGGCTGCCATATTGGACAAAGGAGAGAGAACATTTCCATCATCATAGAAGGCTTCCTTTGGTACATGCTCTGATAGCTTAGCACAAGTTTGTCCAGTGAATTTTCTCAACCAAATGTGTTGAAATTTCAGTTTGATAAGACTGAGATCAAGGAGCACTTGTAGCTTAGTGGGTTATGAGTTGGGATGCAAACTACAAGGTCAGCAGTTCGAATCTCCCAGCTGTTCCTTGGGAGAAAGATGAGGTTTTCTGATCTTGTAAAGATTCTCAGCCTCAGAAACTCTATATTGTTGTTGTGAAGTGCTGTTGAGCCCGTTCTGACTCACAGCGATCCTGTGTAAGGTTTCCAAGGAGCAGTTGCTGGGTTTGAACTACCAACCTTGAGGTTAACAGTCTAGTGCTACAGCACCACACCAGGACTCCAGAAACCCTATACAGGGTTGTTATGAGTCTAAACCAACTCCACAGCACACACTACCACTAAGAGTGAGGTCACAGCTGGCATGGTCCAATGGAAACAGGAAAGCGAGACATTGAAAGAGGAGTCCTTTCCTTCCTCTCTCTCATCTTAAAGTTTGCAAATTGTGAGTGATGGCTTGATGAAGTCTTATGACCCCACAGAGCCCAGGAAAGTTCTGAGAAACCAGGAGAAAGAGCAGTGGTGGTCATAAATCAACCGGCATGACCTCAAACTGTGGAACTTTCTCTCAGATATATATATAACTTTTATTGTAAATTGAGTGGCAGTTTACAGGGCAGATTATCAGTTTTGCATTCAAACAGTCATATTTTGTTTGATTGCAGTGATTACAACCCCCTCCTTGCACCTTCGGTTTAACAGTATTTCTCTTTATTCCCTCTTTTTCTTTTTTTTTATGCACACAAAACACACAGAAAATATATATTAGTTTAAATGACCAAAGGGTACATTTTGTACGCCAGCCTCCTGCCTGTCAAAACACAGCCTTTCTCATTTGTGGGTAAAGAATCCTCAGCTGCTCTCTCTCTCCATGCCTTCACCTCTGCCTCTGTCTCTGGTGTTGCTGCTTCTCTGGTTAGAATCCCACGCTCCACTCATGCCTGCCCTCTTGATGGTCCTAGGGTCCTCTGGTTCCTGGAATGAAAGATTAACTACTCCCCCTTGTTTTGTTGTACATATTTACAATTTGTCGTGATATCAATCACTCACTATTGAATCAAAAGAATCTTAGCCCCATCTTCCCCCATCCCCTCTTACCAGACCCATCTAGACAAGAAGAAAACAGTTCAGTGGGGATTCTACCTTACCCCCTCACTCTGAAACTAAGCACTCTCTTGAAAATTTGTAAGCCATCCACTTCATGCCTTTATAGTCCCCCATTTTTGGTAGCCAATATCTAAGTTGTCTGTCCCTATCAACCCTGCATACTGATCCAGAGAGGAGAAAACTGTTGGGGTCGGGCAGGGTACCCAGAGTTGACAAGGAGTTCAGGTGGTAGGCTTGAGGGGGGTGCAAGGTGAGGTGCTGGGCCCTAGATGGAGTTCCTATAAGCCTCAGTGTTGTCATTGGCTAGGACACCTGATCTGGAAGTCACCTATGCAAGTCCTAATGGTGGCTGAAGTCAGGGTCTTTGCTCCCAGAAGGACCTCTCTCAGGCCCAGAGGGCAGCCAGAAGCAGAGTGGCCAGACACTCTGCTTGTCTGAAGTGGTGGATGGAGTTCATGAGTCTTTAGACGTGAGAGGGGTGCTCCCTGCACACAACTCACAACAGCATAGCTCTGATTTCTGGCACCTGACTGTACAAGGGTGGGCTCGGGTGGGGGCTGTCCACACCTCTGGTCACCAAGAGAAATTGCATGTTTCTTGTCTCCAGCCACTGGTTTGCATTCTCGTCACCGGGCTGCCATCTGGATTGAATGCTACTTGTAAAAGTTCTTAATGGCTGTGCCGGGCCAGGCCAGCTGACAGTTCACCTATCTTTCTCTGTAGCAAGTAAAGCTGAGTGACTTGGGGCAGGAGGCTTGTTTGCAGAGTGGAGTGCCTCCAGGCATTTAATAGGGGGAGCTAGATTTGCTGACCCATGGGAGCTCGAGCCCAGCACCTTCAGGCTGAGGCTTATGCTGGGCTAGTGGGCATTGTGGGCATTTATAGGCAGCTCTGAAAGAGCTGTGTAACGTTACTGCCGTAGGGCAGAGGCCTAGAGGCATAGAGAAAGGCCTGCCTGTAGGCATGGAAGAACTGTGCCCTGGATATTTCTGACTCTAAACTGTAAGCTGTTAGTTCCCTAATAGAACTCCTGAGTCTTGTCTCTGAGTTCTGTGCAGCCATTGCAGTGAATTATCCAATGCAGTATGAGTAGCGTGCTGTGCGAGGGACGGCTGGTGTTCTTTATTTTGCAGATTGGTTATAACTGTTGCAGACCTTAGGACAGCCACTCAAATTTTATAAAATAATTGATAATACTAACAGAGTCAAGAAAATGAATTTATGTAAAATGTTTAAGTCAACGGCGTTATCTCCCTGGCAAACTCCCCAAAAGAAGAATAAAATAAGCTTCTAGGGCCATCCTTAAAACATTTAAATACACAAATTTGGTAATACTTTAATGTTCCTTTTATTATTGTTGGCTAGTTCATTAAAATAATCCATTCTATATCCATTTTCTGTAATACAATGAACAAAACTAGTTCAATTTCATTAAAATGATCTATTAATATTTGATTATTTTGTATTTAAAATGTTTTCAAGCTTTTAAGGATTACATTCAATTCAGCCCTGACTGTAATGAAGAACTCGGTAGAGAGGAGAAGTGATGTTTACGGGTTGAATTCCCAATAGCTTCTTAGTGGCGGAGTCCCAGTCTTTACCCAGTTCAAGCCGCTGGCAGATCGATGGATACTGTCCTTCAGTTCTTCTCACCCATTCATTTGCTTTCTTTATTTCACCAGTAGCCCAGGGAATATTCCTAGATTTAAAAAAAAAAAAAAAAAAGTTTCTATTGGTTTCAGGATACAATTGCATATAAAATGTGGGCGTACTAAATCCAGCACATTATTATCAGACAAAACTATTCTGTCAAATATTGCTTTGACATTTAATAAAAACAATTATCTTTGACAGTTTATGAACAGTCTTATTTCAGCCAAAATGGCACTGTGCTTTTAAACTTATTCAATATATTTTTAACTCTATTACACCTATAAGGAGCTCTGGTAGTGTAGTGGTTACAAGTCAGGCTGCTAACCTCAAGGTCAGCAGTTCGAAACTACCAGCCATGCTGCAGAAGAAAGATGAGGCTTTCTGCTCCCGTAAAGATTTACAGACTTGGAAACCCTATGCAGGGTTGCTATGGGTCGGAACCAACTCCACGGTACACTACCACCACCACCATCTATTACAACTACAGCTTCCCAACTTCCGCTAAACTTCATGGGCATCTTTACTGGCTCCAGGACAGTTAAGCTCTTTTAACTTCTGATGGTGGTGGTGGTGGTGGTGGTTGTGTGCCGTCAAGCTGGTTCTGACTCATAGTGACCCTGTATCAGGTTTCCAATGCTATACATCTTTATGGGAGCAGAAAGCCTCATCTTTCTCCTGCAGAGCAGCTGGTGGATTCAAACTGCTCACCCAAAAGGTAGCCCACTGCACTACAGGGTTCCTAGATGTTTGTTGACTTTCATTCTCTTTCCACTCTTCACAATCTAAATCTTATCTATTCTTCAAGACAAATGCGAGTATCGTTTTTCAAAGCAGGCTTTTGTTTCTACTTTCTACTGTGCCAGGGATTCTATTTGAGTAGTTACCTGTGGACTGTATTTCTAGCATATAAACCAGTAACAACTTACTAGTAAAATGTGCCTAATACAACTTCGAGTTTGTGTCTATAATATACTGATGAATACTCAAGACCATCTATTTCTGAGATTTTATATGAATGTGAATTTTCTACATCTGCATTTGTCTCATCATCTTCTAGAAACTGTTGGCAAACTAGTTTTAAAGAAAATTCTATGGAAGAAAAACTTAAAATTTTGAAAGTTCTATCTTTCCAACATTTTCTCCTTGTGAACAGGGCAAGAGCCATTAGTATACTAATAATTATTGGGAAACAAGCATTTTAGCCACTCTGGACATGCTTGCTAATGAGCATGTTCATCTCATGATAATCCTGTGACATACTTACTCTGTGCCAGATACTGCTAAACATGTTTTCTTTATCCTCATGACAAATCCATGATAGCTCATGTTATTCTCAAAATTAAGGAAAATGAGGCATGTAAGGTTAAATGAAAGTTGCACCGTCTCACACACTCATAGTGGTAGAGTCAGGATCTAAATCCAGCTTATTGTCCCTTTTTGTTTTCTAATTCCAGGTTTTTGCATATTTGGTTATAATATTTGACTCCGTCTTCTCCATGTGCCCTTTGAAATGTTCTGTTCAGCTATTTTACTTCTTCATTTCTTCTATTTACTTTAGCCTCTCTATGCTGGAGCAAGTTTCAGAGTCTCTTCTGACATCAATTTTGGTCTTTTCCTTCTTTGTTTTCTTAATGTCTTCCTGTATGATGTTCTTGATGTCATCCCACAACTCTTTTGGTTTTCAGACAGTAGTGTCTAAGGCATCAAATCTGCTCCCGAGATGGTCTCTAAATTCAGGTGGGTATGTTCAAGGTCAAATTTTCGTTCCCATGGACTTGTTTTCATTTACTTCACCTTCAGCCTGAACTTGCATATGAGAAATTGATGGTCTGGTCCCCAATCTGCCCCTGGCCTTGTTTTGGCTGATGATATGGCGCTTTTCTATGGTCTCTTCCCCTGTGGGAGTCAACTTGATTTCTGTGCATTCATCTGTTGAGGTCCATGTATACAGTCATCTTTTGTGTTGTTTAAAAAAGGTATTTGCATTGAATAAGTCATTATTCTTGTAAAATTCTATCATTGCTTCTATCACCAAGGGCATATTTTCCAACAATGAATACTTCCTCTTTTGTTTCTAACCTTTGCATTCCAATTACCAGGAATTATCAATACAATTTGATTGCATGTTTAATCAATTTCAGACTGAAAAAGTTGGTAGCATTCTTCTAATTCATCTTCTTCACTGGCTTTAGTGGTTGGTGCATACATTTGAATAATAATAACATTAACTGGTCTTCCTTGTAGAGGCATGGGTAATATCCTATCATGTACATCCTTATACTTCAAGATCTTGATATGTTCTTTTTGATGATGAATGTAATGCCATTCCTCTTCAATTGGTCATTCATGACATAGTAAACCATGTGACTGTCAGATTCAAAATGGCCAATGCTAGTCCATTTCCATTTCAGCTCACCATTGCCTAGGATATCAATCATTCTTGGCAACTTTCAATGTTCCTAGATTCATACTTCATACATTCCATTTTCTGATCATTAATAGATGGCTGCAGCTGTTTCCCCTCATTTTGAATTATGCCCCATCAGCAAATGAAGGTCCCCAAAACTTTACTCCATTCGCAGCATCATCATCGCCAATACTTTGAGGAAGAAGCTCCCCCCCCACCCCCAGTCGTATTTTGAGTGCCTTCCAACCTGAGGGACTCATCTTCATTACTATATCTGACAAAGTTTTGCTGCTATTCATAATGTTTTCATCTTCTGGTAGCATCTCATAATGTTCCACGGCTATTCATAGGGTTTCTAGTGGCTAGACATTCAGAAGTGCTCTGCCTCTCCTTCCTAGTCTGTCTTAGTCTGGAAGCTTTGCTTAAACCTGTCCACCATGGGTGACCCTCTTGGTATTTAAAATACCAGTGACATAGCTTCCAGCATCACAGCAACACACAAGCCACCACAGTACAACAAACTGACAGACAAGTGGTGGTATGTAAGTATATATGGGTGCATATATAGGTGTATACAAATACATGTATATGTATAAACAGCTATGTGACTGTATGTGTACACATGTATATGTATAAATATCTATGTGACTGTATGCAAACACATGCATATGTATAAACATCTATGTGACTGCATGTGTACACTCAGATATAATAAAGCACATAGGAGGTACTCTTACAGATACTTTTTAGACATAAGCAAGTGACTGGTGGGATTGGTTTTCTGGGTTTGAAGGATTAGGACCACAGTCTCATGGAATAGCTCAGTCAGTTGGCATAACACAGTTCGTAACATTTTGTTCTACATCCTAGTTTGGTGAGTAGTGTCTGGGGTCTTAGAAGCTTGTAAGCAGCCATCTAAATGACAACTATTGGTCTCTACTCATCCAGAGCAAGAGAGAAAGAAGGAGAGCAGACACACAGAAGAAACAACTCTACAGGGCAGTCTACACAATCCAGGGCCTGGTCTGTGGTGAGACCAGAAGAGCTAGAAGGTGCCTGACTCCACTATCAACCATCCTAACCAGGGACACAATAGGTGGACCCCAAAAGCATGGGGGAAAATGTAGAAGGGAAACTCAAATACTTCAAATGAAACAAACAAAAATGCCATACTCAGTGGATTAGTTAATTCTGGGGGATTCCTTACGACTGTTGAAATACTTTTCAAAGCTTGAACTGAAACTTACCCTGAGTTCTCCTTATAGCTAAATAATAGATTGTCTCACAAAACAATGAATATCACTCATAAATCCTATGCTCTTTTAGAAAAGTCACCTATATGAAACTTAATGGTCAGCAATGACCGGAAAGATAAGAGTGTTAGGAGTCAGGGAAACTAGATTATGGAAACGGAATAACCAGAATGTAAATCATGAAAATGTTCATGGTGAAGAACATAACAAATCTCACGGAAAACTCTATGTAGAAATTGCTGAACAGAAGCCTAAACTGTCATGTATCCCTTCAATTAAAATATAAGTTAGTGTTGTTGTTTTTAATGCATACATGTGGAAGCAGAAAGCTTATTCTTTTTCCTTCAGAGTGGCCAGTGGATTTGAACTGTTAACTTGTGGCTATCAGCCCAACAGGCAACTATGCCACCAGGGTTCCCTAATATATAATAAGCATGTAGCCTTCTTACAAGATTTATTTAAGAAATGGTTGGAGATGTAAGTTTAACAGTTAAAGCTTATGAAGCCACCTGGAACTAGAAGTGTCATCTATTTTCATCAGTGATTTGAATATTATTCCTTCTTCTTCCAACTTGGTTCGAAGAAACTGTAGGACCAGAAACGTGGCAATCAAGTCTAGGAGGCATTCTTGTCCTTTTGTACCTGAAGCAGAGGGGGCGAAAAAAAACCAAAAAACATGAAACCTCCTTATGTCTATTTGAAACTACATCTCAAACTGTCTGTTTATAAAAGTTCTATTAAAGAATGACAGTACTATTAAACCATAAAACATTAGCAGATCCCAAAACTGTAAGACTCTCACGGTTCTCAATTCACCCACCATTCAAAGAAAAAATGAGGAAGACTACAACATTATATTATCCTGGAAGTTTTTAGGAAATTAAGTAACAGACTTGGCAAAGAAAATTCAATACAACAGGGACTTCCAGAAGAACACGCCAATCTGTCTAAGAAGCCAGATTTGTTCCTTCACCAGCGAATACTCCTTAGATGTGAGATGGAGAAACTTCATCTCACAAATTTGGACATGTTATCAGGAGGGACTTTGGGAAGGGCATCGCGCTTGGAAAAGTAGAGGGTCAGCAAAAACGAGGAAGACCCTCAATGAGATGGATTGACACAGTGATTGCAGCAATAGTAAGGGGTCTGAGGATGATTAAGACCAGACAGTGCTCGCTCTGCTGGAACCAACTCGACGGCACCTAAAACAGGCAGCAAGCTTTATGCAGAACGCCCTTCCATTGGCATCTTCAATAACTAACAGGCATGAAGTATAATGAAAGAAAGTCTGTTTCTAGGATCCTGCTACAAATAGCTCAGAAGAGTCAACTTTAAATACACAACAGATAAATAATAAATATGGCTGATTATACCAGTGTATCAAATTGTTTCTAGTGAATAGTACCTACAGGTAAACAGGACTCTTTAGAAAATCAAGATATTTACTATATTACAAAACACCAAAATTAAAAATGAATGGTTAGATATAGTGAATCCATAAATTAGCAATCCATTTCTAATTCTAAAATAATGTAAGTCACGTATTTAAAATCATGTTAAAATATAAAAACAATAGCTTTGAATTATTATCTTTCCAATTGCCCATGATGCTAATTTGATTCAAACTTTTCTTCACAATTATCTTCATTATGATTAGAGTGACAAAGAATCTTCTGAAAAGTAAATCATCTATATTTCCATAAAAAGTGTTTGGAATATAGCAATGTTTGTATCATTACAACACAGCCACTTAATATATTGTTATATTGGATTAGGAAATAGTTTAAGCACATAGGGAAAAATGTCAATTGACTAGTTTACAACCACATCCACCACAGCTGGTCAGTTCTGAACATTTTCCTACATTTGCCTCAAATTCCTCTCCTTTCTTTAAAATAAAACCACCAACATACCATACAACTGAAGTGCCCCTTTGAATCTCTCTCCCATTTAGAAACACTACTCTGTGTTGAAAAGTTACATTTGCATGATGTACATTGTTTAAAAATAGGTTCATTTAAGAATATTCAGTGTTTGTGGTTTCCAATTCTTAATCCCAGGAATACGTCATAAACCTGTAATAATTTTTTTTTTAATTTCCCTTTTAGGACTTCCGCCCAGTAACTTCTTTTGAGTACCCAAAATCAGCACGAATTAAGGTCGTATCGGGCCGAGTGCTTTCTTTAATTGACACTACGCTATTCAATTAAGAGACTACCTTACAATGTGAAATATGAGTATATGTAAAGATTCAAATATGTAATGACTTTTTGAGTGAGCATTTTTTTTTTAATATGGGTATCTTTTCTTAACATGTTCTTTTGTGTGTGTGTGTGTTTTATTGTGAATTATATGATAGTTTACATGGGAGAACATTAGTTTTACATTCA